GATGATTTGGAGATTCCGAGTCGACTCGGTGAGTCAGTTGCGAGTTCGTGTCCATGTTCGAGTTCGAGCGAGTTGGCTGGTGTTGATGGTGGTGGTTGCAACGGCGGTTTGGAAGTGACGGAGAAGTTCCGTGATGTTGACGGTGGTGAAGTGACGGAGGTGGAGAAGGGAAGCGTAAGGAGATTTGTATGTTTTATTGGTGAGAAAGTTTTTAGTGTTTGGGGATAAGAAATTTTTGCCGAGAAAATGGCTGAGAAAATAACAAGAAATAAAAAGCTGGAAATGTGTTTTTTTTTTTGTTTAATCACTTGGATTCCTCTGGTCCAAAAAAATGTTAGACATTACCTAAAAGTTTTTGATGTGTAAGCATTAATTGTAATATAATGCGACAAAATTATCAATGTAAGTTAACATGTACTATTGAATACGTTTAACTGTATACACAATATGAACTACAAACTTCAAAGGTGTGACCACAAACTAAAAGATATAAACAAATATATCCATAAATTATTATTTTGTTACCGTCAATGATTTTATATTATTGAGCACAATACAAAGTAGATCAATTATTATTTTGTTACCGACTTACGGTCAATGATTTTATAATATTGAGCACAGTACAAGTAGAATTGCTACTTCCAAGATCCAGAGTTCAAAAGGCATTAAAACCCAAGATTGATAATTTAGTTATCACTAGTCTCTTATGAGGAGGATCCTTTATTTTTTTCCTGATAGAGTGTTTTACATTAATTAGATTATTGATTAAAATGTAACAATTATGCGTATTAGAATATTGTTTAGAATATTAGTAATTTATATTTGGGGTCCAAGGATATCTTTTGTGCTGCCCACCACCAGAGCCATTTTTATGCTTCCCATGAATTGTTGTTGTCACATTATTTGTCTGTACATTTTTGCCCTTTACGAGTCACTCAATTAGCCTGCACTCAATCTGAATCTTTTAATCAAAGCGTAAAGTCTAAACTCGAAACTTCCTAAGTTGAAATGGAATATAAAAAGAAATAGAACATTTTATGACTTTCTTTGTAGAACATGTCAATCGAGTTGGGTGAGACTTCTAATTTCTTCTTATCACGTTGTATGCTTTTTAAGCAGTCTAAGTTCTTATCACATTGTATGCTTTTTAAGCATAGTCCAAGATTCATATTTTTCGCACTACTAATATTTTTCGTAGGTGTATGTAGTTTGTGAAGTTTTTATTTTACACA